AATAAACTTTGAAGTAACTTGCATGAAATTTCAGTACTTGATTTCTGCACACCTTTAAAAAAAAAAACTTGTTATGCGTAAGCTTTCAAGTCTTCATTTATGTGTAAATATCTGTGTATATTCTTTTTGTGTCAACGCTGAAAAGGCATCATCAGGATACATTCAATTGACAAGGTATTGTAACTTGATTAATGACAAGTGTCCATATTCCTGGACTATCCCTTCCTTGAGCTGTTTAACTGTTACTTTTCCCACATGTCTCTATCTAATCTTTGAACTGAAAGAGAAGACCTACTTTCTATCTCTGTTCAAACAGGTTTTTGGTGTTTTTTTTTGCCACCTCAAAGGAAAATGTTTGGTAACTTTGCAGTCTCTTGACTAGTTGGTTCCTATTTAGTAAAAGCAGACTGGGATGTACATTTTACTAGAAAAGTATGGGAAGCAGGAAAGATTCTGTATTCCACTGGAACTGTGACTTGATTTTGGTTTTTTTGTGCTTATGGTGAAGAATATTGGACTAATAATGCACTTCTGAGTAAATTTCAAAGTAGCTATTGGTCCTGTCTTCTAGTCACTGAAGAGATGCATCTTAACTTCTAGGTCAGATAAGTTTTGAAGGAATAGGTGCACTTTTTTTAAGCATGTGTCTTGAAAAGTAAGAGTTATGTTGGAATTTTTCTTGGCATGGAAGGAACTTAAATAGAAAACTATTTGTTGCCATTTATCTACTTCTTGTTTTGTAGATTGCTGTAAGTCTTGGTACTCCTATCATGAAAGCTGAGTGGATTTATAAAGCTTGGGAGAAAAGGAATGAAATGTAGGTATTTACTTTTTTTCAACCCTGAACTTATGACCTGTTCATTTGTAGTATTGGGAATTTAAGTAGTGTTGTACTGATTTAGTGACTTTTGTGCACCCTTTTTCTAGGGACTTCTGTGCAGCTGACGATGATATTAGAAATCAGTTCAAAGTTCCTCCCTTCCAGGACTGCTTGCTAAGTTTCCTTGGGTTCTCCGATGAAGAGAAAGCAAACATGGAAGAAATGACAGAAATGCAAGGTTATTGTTTGTGAATGCTGACCTTTGAAATGAATGGGATTTATGGCTGAAAGATTTCACTGAAACAAAATCCTGGATCATGAATCCTAAAGCATTAATGAAGGATCTTCAATGTAGAAAGCTCTGAATTGATTTTTAGATGTCTTAAGTTCTTACAGCTGTTGAAGACTTGAAACTTCTTAGACTGATTGAAGCTAGGCCATCTTAAAAGAAATTACAGGATGCTTGAAAATATCCTAGGGAACTTTCAACTTGGTATGAAATATTACTGGTGAAATACTTGACAGGTGATGTTTGAGTTTTTTGGTAGCATAGGGTTACGTTAAGACTATTATACATTCATGTCTGAACAGTCATGAGGTAATAGGTAACAGTGGTTCCAGCCTTGTGTTGCTAGACATATATGCAATAGAACTACTGATGTGGGAATGCAGCAAGCTTGTAATAGCAAATTGTCCTCATAACATGGAAGTTGGCTCTTTTTTCTTTCTCCCTGACCTTTTTTCTCTAAAGATTTTATAAGAATATTCATGTTAGAACCTCTGTGTCACATAGAGTATACCTACCTTGTTCTACAAATAAGGAAGACAAGGTTTTCAGTAAAGCATAGTGTTTATTTCCAGAGAGGTTTAAATGCCCTCAACTATGCCTTCTCTCAACACTTTCTATATGTACTTCACTATGTTTGCTGCTTTTTACTTCCTAGAAGCTGTCTGCTGCTGGTAATGTATGGGGTATTTTGCAAGTTTTTTTTCCTTGGCTCTTCTGTCCTTGATACTACATGCCGTAAAGCTATCAAGCAAACAACTTTAACAATATTATTATTTTGTCTTGCAATTTACCTCTTTGTTTCCTTATTTCTATAGGAGGATGTTATTTACCAGTTGGTGATGAAAGGTGTACACACTTAGTGGTTGAAGAAAATACAGTGAAAGAGATTCCATTTGAACCTTTAAAGAAACTTTATATTGTAAAGCAAGAGGTTAGTGCTTACAGATTCTTGAAGGAATACTTGTGTATACTGCTCCATGTGAGATTTTTTTCTTTAGCTAAAGCTACTTGTTTGCATTCAGTGTGCAAATTGTCATAATACTACATACATTACTCTGAATGTTTTTAACACTGTGATTTAATGTGTGGTTTCCTTATTCTTCAGTGGTTCTGGGGAAGCATTCAAATGGACGCCAGAGCTGGAGAGTCCATGTATTTATTTGAGAAGGTATGTATTATATGAATGAATTCAACATAGCTTGTACTTGGTGGTGAAATTAGTATGTGTGGGGCCAGAAGTTAATATTTCTTTTAAGCTACCTTTAAATCCCAGGTAATGAATTGTAAGCTTACCCCTAGAGTATTGATTTGAGAAAACGTGTTGTTTCCTGAAAGCTGAACCAAGTTTTAACAAAAGCAAAAACAAAACAACAAATGCATTACTCCTATTTTTTTTACAGAATAAAAATAGGGCTTTGGTTTTCTTGAGGGGGAGAAAATGTTTTGTGTGCTCATCTGACCTACCTTTGTCCTGAGTTGTGCTGGAAACAGCAAGTAAAAAGACTAAACTGAACTTTCTCTACAGTCAGAGAGTCCTGGCCTCAAAAAGTCTGTGTCACAGCTTTCTCTGAGTACTCCAAACAGCAATCGTAAAAGACGTCGTTTGAAAGAGACTCTTGCACAGCTGACTAGAGAAACAGACATGTCACCTTTTCCTCCTCGGAAGCGCCCATCAGCTGAACACTCGCTTTCTCTTGGATCCTTGTTGGACATTTCTAACACTCCAGAATCAAGCACGACCAATGGAGGTATAGCTAAAGACCTTCATTTAGGTGCATTTGCAGTGTTTAAGAGATCTCTGCATGCAAGTGATAATGGTAGTGATGGAGAAGTCTTTCAGGATTTGCTACAGGTTTCCTGGGTAATTCCAGACTTTGTCCTTGAAGTGTGTGGGATGCAGGGTCAAAGTGAGGCGTTCAGATACAGAGGTCAGGCTGCTTCTTTTCATCACAATAAGCATATTCAACAGTACTTACAGAGAGGAGTTACTGGTACTCTTAAAAGAGGAAGACTTTAAAAGACTGTAGAAATATTATATCTTGTATATAAGAAGCAATGGTTTTAAATGAAGAGGGTACATTTAGATTAGATACTAAGAGGGTATTGTTCCCTGTAGGTATGGTAAGACACTGGAACAGGCTGCCTAGGGAAGTTGGGGATGCCCCATCCCCAGAGATGTTCAACGCCTGTTGGATGGGGCTTTGGGCAATATTTTGTGTCCTTGCTTATGACAAGGGGGTGATCTTTAAGGTCTTTTCCAACCTAAGCCGTTCTAAATCACGTAAGCAATCTGAAAGAGGCACAGCTTTTGAGTCATAAGTCAAGGAATCTGAGAAACATAGCTCATTCTCAATGACTATATTTCCTAGTTAATGCTAAACTCTCTTAACTCCTCATACAGAAGTTTCTTCTAATGCAACATCAGTGGACAGTTTCAGGAAGTGATATTATGAAAACAATAGATATAGCACTTATTTAAAAGGTGCTGTGATTATAATGGACTCAAACATTGAGTAGGTGTGACAGATCTCTGCTCTCCAGTACATATGCAGGTACATAAAAATAGTGGACTGTTCCAGGTTAACTTTAGTTTTAAGAAAAATTACCCTCTTTTCTCATCTACCTCATTTTCCACTTGAACCAGTCATCTGCCTACAGTGAAATGCTGCAGTTTTTGCTTGTAAAGACTGATCTCATTCAGTGGTTTTGGGCTGCGTATATAATGTAAAGATGGTAGGCACAGAAAGACTTGATGTAGCAAAGCAAAATTAGAAAAATATAACTCCCATGTGTAAATAATGTTTAGCATTTAGCCTTCAGTTGGTACTAAGTGTAAGAGGGTTGAGTCATTGACCAGTCTGTAGATTGCTTACGAGTGGTTTAATAGTCTAAGACTTATTCTGAGGAATAACACGTTACTATTAGTCTATAATAGGACTAATAAAGTCATTTTTTGACAGAGCTCTGATGACCAAATAAAGAATAGCCTTTTAGCTTTTTTTAATTCCCTTGAATTCTGAAAGCTTCCCTCTTGGAGGGAATGACCTTTTCAAGAACTCTAATTTATAATAGAACTCTGTTTTCTTTTGGAAATATCTCTTAATCAGAAACGCCGAAATCCTGTGCAAGGCCATCGAAAAACTCCACTCCTCTTCCACTAAAGCAGTCTGCAAGATGGCAGGTTGCAAAGGAACTATATCAGACAGAAAGTAACTATGTTGATATTCTTACAACAATTATTCAGGTGAGCTGGTATTACAGCAAGTACAATTCAATTGTAATAAGACTCCTAATGTTTAAGTAAGTGACTTGTGGTCTTTAGGCTTTTCAGAACTTGGAGCAGTAAAGGCATGTGAGGAATGATGTATATGAGCTTACAACTTTACTGGTGCATTAAAGATGTTAATTATAAAGCTTGGAGGTCATAAACCAACTGCAGATCTCAAATACTGTTCACTGGAAGTGTTCAAGGCCAGATTGCATGGGGCCCTGGGCAGCCTGGTCTAGCATTAAATGAGGAGGTTGGTGGCCCTGCATGTGACGGGGGTTGGAGATTTATGATCCTTGAGGTCCCTTCCAACCCTGGCCATTCTGTGATTAGAAGTTATAGTTGATATGAAAATATTAAATTTTAAGAAAATAGGCTCTTCATGACTTGGGTTTTTAAGATAGTAGTGTGTAGAGGTGGAAAAAAAACAGTAACCCTGTTTGCTATTGCAAGAAGAGCAGAACAGGAAGAGCTTCAGTTCCTAGGAAGTTTGCTTCCACTGTGGCTCATTATCATGCCTAAAGAATGTGTGTGATTAGAGGAGAAAATAGATTATTCTACAGTAATGTTAACTAACCTGGTGCTTGCATCTGGAAACTACTCTTCCACAATCTGTTCTTGTTAAGTTGGGAGCAGGATGTATCAATATTGTGACTGCAGGAAATTATGATCTGGAAAAAAACACCATTGTTTTCATAACTGTTTCTTATACAATGCATGGAAGATGTAATGATTCTTTGTCTAATACATCAGTTATTTCAAGTTCCGTTGGAGAAGGAAGGACAACTTGGGGGACCAATACTTGCACAGGAAGAGATTAAGACTATATTTGGCAGCATTCCAGATATTCTTGATGTACACACTAAAATCAAGGTAAACTGTAACTTCCTTTTACAGAGGAAGATATGATGCAAACTTTAAATTCTTTCTGCTTGTGTTAAGTCATAGCTACTGAATGGATACAGATTCATTAGGGTGAACTAAGTGCAAATCTGAAATATACTTAATTTGTAAATGAAGTTCTTAAAAGTATCTGAAGTCTGAGTATTATGCTTAATACTGCCATTTATGAACCATACTCAAAATTGCTTAGGTACAGCGGTTGCCTGTTTTTTCTCAACTTTGGTGTAATGAAGATAAGTAGAAGAAACAAATGGAGACTAGCGATGAAACCTTTAAATTCAAGGGGAAACCTGAACTTCAGCTGTGCTGTCTTGTTTCTGTTATTAGCTGAGGATAAATAAGCTTGATCCTTATCAAGCTGATACGTGCTTAACAGCTTGCTCTTACTCTTCTCAACCCTTGGTGCAATCAGTGAGGGAAACCTGTGCTAAATATCATTTAATCCTAACTTCTATTATGCCATTTTGTTGCAGAGCTGACTAGTTCAGACACACTGTTAGACTCTGCTTCTATTGATTCAAAACTGTATGTTTAGTAAACCAGAGGAATTTTGCTATCATCTCTTAATAGACTTAAGAGGCTTACTGTGAAGTTGTGTGGGTTTTAGGATTGCCTGTTTTGTTATCTGTTTCTGTGCTGACTATCTGTGTTTGGCAGAGCACTGGTCCCATCTTAAAGATTTATGCAGTTGACACTTGTTATTTTATTCTCCCCATCCTTGCACCTAATCTAGGAAGACCTGGAAGATCTTATGGTGAATTGGACTGAAAGTAAAAGTATTGGTGATGTCTTTCTTAAATATGTAAGTTTCTGTTTTTTTATGCATTAGAACTTACTATGAACTATTTATCTTACAAATAACCCACTGTAGGATCTAGCAAACACAAGCAAAGCACTACTGAGTAAGCAAGAACACTGACTCGTATCATTGTATCTTCTGTTTAGACTTCTTAGCTGAGTTAGTGATATACTTTGTAAGTAATCCCTGTCAAGATTAAGTGTATGCATCTGTCTGTTTGCATTATGGATTAAAACTTCAAATAGGTGTAATTAAAAACAGCCTTCAATTTGCAATGCTACAGACATTTTCTACTTAAATGGTAGAAGGAACGCTTTCTGTGATCTTAGCGATCTTCTGCTTCCTTTCAATAATATGGAACTAGGAAGTTAACTTTTTGAAGACACTTGTATTTTTCCTTGAAGACTTAAAATGTGTAAATAATAACTGCTTATTTTTCACAAGTACATATGCACAGAACGTGAAAGCTAGGTCTGGGACTGCAGTATTTTTTAACATAGTAAGCCTGCTACTTATCTTGTGCTTTTGCTGTCTTAATCATGCTGAGGTAAAGAATGTTTTGTATTCAAAAGCTCTTGATTTGAGGTATTGCTTATGGTGATTTCATGTTTTTTTCCTAAAAGTGGTTGCAAGCACTGGAGAAAATATCTTAAACTTCCAAAACTTTCACCAAAAGTATTGTTAGATAAGAATCTTCTCTACTTGAAACCACTGAACAGCTCTTTCTAGGATCGTCAATTATATTTGATGTTTGAGAGCAGTCTGTATTTCATAAGCAGCCTCGAATCTAGAACATCTGGCATTCAAAAATGTTCTAACTTGTTATGTGAGCATGCACAGGTTTACAATGCTTTATTCTTCATTGAAATGTGTCTTTGAGCAGCTCAGGGTATATGAACATGTGCAATGCTACATCATATGTAAAGCAGAGTTCTAACAGTTCTTTGTTTTTCAGTCAAAAGACTTGTTGAAAACTTATCCACCGTTTGTGAACTTCTTTGAAATGAGCAAGGAAACTATTACTAGATGTGAAAAACAGAAGCCAAGATTTCATGCCTTCCTGAAGGTAAGTGTTTTGCTCAAAGTTGTGCAAACTTGGCAACTATCACCAAGTAAACTATTTAGTGCAGTTGATGAGGAACTTGAAATTTTAAAAACTTGAAGGAATGTTGAATGCTTCTTGGTGAGACAGAAATAGGAAGGATTTGAGCTTCAATCCCTTAAGCTTCTCATGAGACTCTTTATTAAGAGATCTAGGTTCCTTGGCTGTTACAGCTTCTAAGCCAGTTTGATTATATGCTGCATAAGTTATTTGTCTCCCAAATACATGCCTTCTCTTTCTCTTCGTTGATCCCCCTCCTGGCGCTAAAGACTTGTGAGTTAAAAGCTATTCTGGGAACACTTTTGGCAGTTATGAAGTTCCAAGGAGGTAGAATGTCTCACTATTCCTGCAGCTAGTGAGAAGGAGCATAAGTGAGGATTTAAGAGAAGACTGTCTTCAAAGAAAAATTGTAGAGGAGTCTTTATACTTCCAAGGTTCTAGATAAACCTATATAGCTGACTGTTAGTTCAGTGTAGCTTTAAATCTTCTGCATCCAACAAGCATATCTCAAAACAAGAGAACCCCAAAGAAATCAAGCTAAAAGGTCTCAGTTCTTGTTTTCTTAGGTACTGGGGACTATTTCTGCATATTAATAATTAAATGATGGGGAAATGATAAAGAATGCAACCAGCTGTCCCCTGTCTCACTACGCTGTAGGATCTGGAGCAAAGTCTGAGAAGTTGGTCATGGACAGTTGAATCATTCTGAGAAGAAAAGTGATAAACACCATTTAGATTTGAATGTCTTCTAACGTAATTGCTTAACAATTGTATACCTGTGTTGAAAGACTCTGGGAAACTTCTACTGCATTGTTAGCCTTGGAGAATACAACACTTTTGCCTTTTAATTGGAAAAAAAAAGTTACTTCCTTTTTCCCCTTTTCTTCTAGATAAACCAAGCTAAACCAGAATGTGGTCGTCAAAGCCTAGCTGAACTACTTATCCGTCCTGTTCAAAGGTTGCCTAGTGTTGTTCTACTACTAAATGGTAATCTTGTGGTTTTTTGTATGTTTGATTTTTGAATTTTAAAAGCAAGATAATGCTGCTTTTGGCATGATTAGGAGTGGCTTTTCTCATATGAAGCATGCTTGTTTCTGTGAGCTAATCACACTTAATGGCAATCAGCAAGACCAATTACTGAAAAAAGCATAGCTTAAGAAAATTTCACTTGTGTACTTTGGATATATACAGGAACAGCCAGAAGAAAAGCTTGCTCTGAAAACAGTTTTGTTGTCTTAAGTACAGATATAACTGAGGTTCAAATGAGAGAGCAATTCATATCAGCAGGACTATAGCTTCATGTGTTTCTCTTGAGATCACCCACTTACTGTAACAATGCTAAAATCTGTTAGATCTGTGTGAGTTAACATTGTCTTCACAGACCACAACATCAACTTCTTAAGGCAGGAATTGGGGTACTTAAAGCATGTAGATAGTCCTTGTAAAACTGGCTTTTAATGGTAGCAATGTGAGCTTAACGTGCAGTTAAACTTGTATGTGGAAGCTGAAGGCAGGTGCCATACGTCAACATAAGTACAGTGGTGCGTAAGTCACACATGTTCAACTACTTCAGTCAAAGGCTGAAGGCTGCTTTTAGCAGCCTGCAGTGCTAGGTAGCTTCATGGGGATGAAATGACTCTAACTTAAAATCAAATTGTCTTCCTACTCTTCAAATTCTCAACATTTTATTCTTAAGGGTCTAAAAACTTGCAATCTTTTGAATTGTAGATCTTAAGAAGCATACAGCAGAAGACAACCCAGATAAAATCATTCTAGAGAGAGCTATTGAATCATTAAAGGAAGTGATGACGTAAGTGAAATTTGTTCTACAAAACTGTTAGATGTATGGATCTATTCATCTCTCCTAAATTGTCCTAACTTAAAGCATATTGCTACCATATGTTTTGTCTCCATTTAAGTGTATGTAATGTGCATTCCTCAGAAAGTGGTGATTACCATGATTGCCAAAGGATTCTCCACCTGAAGAATGAGTGGAGGGGAAATAAGCTACTAAATACTTATATAAATCTGTGGTTTCTCAGATCAGTCTCCATTCTGCCACTGCCATCATTCTGTCATCCTGTGCCAGAGCTCTTGATGTCCTTGAAAAGTTTCTGTTGTTACCCACTGCTTCTATCTGAATGGCTGCTGACTTCCTACCTGTGTATGAAGCTGAACCTTTTGGTTCTTTTGTTCTGTCTGCCCTGTTCTGTCCTCTAAGAGTGGAAGAGTTGTGGGGGAAAAATAGCATCTTTTAAGTCTTCTATATATAAAAATTTTCATTGAGAGGTTGTGTAGTAGTGGTGAAAGCTTATCTGTGTTGTGCTCCTGTGTTAGCTATTGATGGCACCGTTCTGCAAGCTTAAAGCTGAAGCTGTTTAGATTATAAGGCTCACCTCTTCTAAATTGTAGCATGTATCTCCAACAATGAGAATTTATGTACTTACTTGAGCAAATGTTTGCCTGATTTCTAACAACTTTTAATGTCTAATTACTCTTGCATTTGACTTCTGCTGGACTGTAGTGTTGACTTGAGGGGGTGTTGAGAGAGCTGTAGAATGCAGCATATGAGAATTAATCACTGGTTCCTTCCTCCGGAGTAGGGAGGGAAATTGCAATAAGTGAATGCTATGTCAGAACAATATTATTCTCATGTTATAGTTGTGAAGTTTCATGTATGCCTGCTTAGCATATGGTGCTTGGACACATGTGGAGTACATTTACTCTACTTCTGTATGTCCAAGTGCTACTCTGTAAGCTTTCTGAATGTTCAGCTTAATTATTTCTGTCTTAAATGCAGTTGAATTGTTTACAGTTGCTTGATATTGAAGATAAATGTAGTATAATGTGCTTTCCTCAGACATATTAACGAAGATAAGAGGAAAACAGAGGCACAAAGGCAGTTCTTTGATGTTGTCTATGAAGTTGATGGATGTCCAGTAAGTAATTTTTCTGAAGTTGCAGACCTGTAAAAATGATTGCTTTCTTGCTCCCTCTGCAAGAATGAGAGTTTAAAATCACTGGTACTGTTTTAAATAGATTTCCAGTGTTAAGTTGTAAGCAAGTAGTAATCCAGCACTCGAATTAAATGCTTAATAAGCTTTTCGCTTCTGTTGCATAGGCCAATCTCTTGTCCTCTCACCGAAGCTTAGTTCAGCGTTTGGAAACTGTTGCACTTGGTGATGACCTCTGTGACAGGGGAGAACAGGTCACACTCTTTCTGTTTAATGATTGCTTAGAGGTAAGATTACTATATGAATACTTCTAGTGAGTTGTACAATGCTTGACACTATGAATATAAACAAGAAGAACTTAAACTTTGAAGCAGAATCAAATCAGACTTTAAGTCACAGAATTAGAAGAATTAAGAGTTAAGTCTCAGACAGCTGATAGTTCAACATATCCTGATGTTACCTTTTCGTAGGTACTGTATAAATAACACAAGTAACTGATCAGTTTTGGATGATCTTATAGCAAGATTAAGAAGTTGATATTAAAGAGCAGTGAAGGGCATATTTGCCTTGGAAAAGCGATTAACAATTCTATATGGAAATAAGGCCAATGTATCTAACACATCTTGAAAATTAGCATCGTAAATGACTGATACTTGTCCTGTCACTCACTGGACTTTTTTCATTATTACATGAAGTAGTATCAAATAATATTACAGTAGTTGTCTAGCATTTCTGCATTGTATGCCACTATCTATACTTTGAGAAATAAAAATTTCTATTCTTTTCTGTTTAAAGTAGAATGCTTAATTCTCAGTATATTTAATTATATATGCATAGCACTTTAAGTAGTACTGATGGATGAAAAAGTGCTGGAGTCTGGCTCAGCAGGCTGTTGGTCTATTTAAAGTTTAATTGTATTTAATGTGAATAAATATACCTTTGAGATACGGCTGTTTGTGCGTTGGCCAACAAGGAAAACAGATCCGCATATCATATATCTAGACTAATATTATGTTAAGAAGATACATGATGAAAAGTAATTTAGCTAGGAGTAAAACTGACTTAGTTTCTCTACTCATGAAGGATGGAAGGGAAAATGGAAACAAGCCAAGAACCTTAATTGAAAGTATCTCTTTTATAAAATAAAAACTACTGGTGTTACCTCTGTTTTTAATGTAAAGTTAAAACTAATATACCTCCACTGTCAAAATCTACTCCATGACTGCATAGATGAGTAACAGCAAGTAACACTCCTAGGACAGAATTCACCACAGTCTGATTTGATTTATGCATATAGGTATCGTCTTCAGTGTTTAAATCTTGATTGACTTGCAGTAGGTTTCTAAGTGCCTTTGCTTGTTCTTCAGGGTAGGATTGAGACTTGTAATACAAAGCTGCTTTCCCTCTTTTTTTCCAGAGGTGAGGGTGTTGCTGCTAAGTAACGAGTATTTCTTGGCCACTTGAACTATCTATAAGCATCTCTCATCTTAAATTCTCTGAAGACTTTTGTCATACAGTAATGTAGTTCTTTAAAATATTTCAAAGTGTATTTCTCTGTAGCAAGGTTTTATTTTCATTCCTGAATTTTAGAAGGTAAGAATACAGAAGACAAATAAAACAACAATAGACTTTCTGAGTTTAACCTGTCTTTTTATTTAACTGCAGATTGCAAGGAAGCGTCACAAAGTCATTGGTGCTTTCAAGAGTCCTCATGGCCACACAAGACCTCCTGCTTCTCTTAAGCATGTTGTACTCATGCCTCTCTCCCAGATCAAAAAAGTCCTGGACATTAGGGAGACAGAAGGTCTGTATGATCTAAAATGCCCCAAAAGCAATGAAAACTCCCTTTGAAAGGATGAAGGATTTTCCATTGTGAGACAGAATGCCAGGGCATATTTGTTGTATGACAAGATTCTAGTATAAGCTGCTGTTTGAAGCTGTCTGCAAGCTTGAAAATGTCTTGTTTTGGCATCTTTTGGCTTTTCAAGACTCACTGTGGGCTGCTAGATCTGACAGAGCTATTAGGTGGAGTTAGAAACCATTATTTGGTTACAGGAACAAAACCCAAACAAACTACAAAAGACAGATGAGACTTCAGTCCAAATCAGAGACAAAAGCTTTTGTTATGAAACTAAATATTGTGTAAATGGTGGTAATGATGCTCAGGAGCTATGCTTAGCCTCTTAGGAAAAAAAACTTTAAATGGCTTAATTTCTGTGGCTGCTTTGCCATACTAAGGCCATAAAGGTTTCACTAAAGTAATGCATTACTAGAGCAGCAGGACCAGTGCTACAAATAGTATTCCAACCTTGCTAGTGACTTCTAAGAAAGAATAGGTTCAACACCTGTACCCTAGAAATATCCATTTGATATTTCGCTCGGGGTTATAGTATGCACATTCAGATTGTTCTGGTTTCTTCTCTGAAGCACCTGTATGTAGAAACTTAATGAAAAACAGGAATGGCAAAGCAGGTAGGTAGTAAACATGTTGCTTAACTGCTGAAAACTACCAACAAAAAGTTAGCTTAAATCTTCTCTTAAGAGGTTTTCTTCATTTATGGCGTGATACCTAGGTTTATTTAGGGACTTACGTAAATGCCTCCCATCAGACAAGCATCTGCTTAATATTTGCTTAGAACTTCAGTATACTACTTGGAAGAGGTCAGCTACTCTGACATCTGAGGATGCTGTTTTTAAAATTGTTGTTTCTTTCCTTATCTGTGTTTAGCATGCGTTGGCTGAATGTCCTCTAAAGTATCAGCAGTGGATTTATTTTTTGCTCTTAAGTGAGCAATGTTAGTCAAGTCAAAAACTTCAACTACAGCACTTGAATGTCATATTTATTACTGACATCTTTTATTGCTTTCACTGCCTTACACAACAGGGTAAATGTTTTTGTTATGTGTCAACAAAAGGAATGATCTGTCCAACACTTCATGAGTTAAAGAATATTCACTGCTGTATCAGTAAAAATTAAATAGACTACAGTGTGCAAACTACTTGGTGAATGAACTGGTTGCAGCCTCTTTAAGACATGCAGACAGAATTCAGGTCTTTTGTGATAAAACAGCAGTTGTGCAAATAATAAATCTCTTGTACTAAGTTATATCACCTCTAAGTCTAATTCCTGGAAGCTTAGGATTAACTCTAAAAGATTACACCCATTATCTTTTGGGGTGGAAAGTCATATGAAGTAGAATTCTTGTCATACCTCTGTCTTGTTTGTTTGTTCTTCTGAAACTTCTTTAGATTGCCACAAAGCTTTTGCCTTAGTTGTACGTCCACCGACAGAACACAACAACAAGCTACTCAGTTTCCAAATGACCAGTGAAGAACCTCCTAAAGAAGACTGGCTGAAAACATTGTGTCGACATGTAGCTAACACAATTTGTAAAGCAGATGCAGTAAGTTCTGTGCAGCCATGTTGTCTGGAAGTATTTTGCTCTGTTGGCTTGAAATACAGGAAAGTAAAGAACTTGTTAATAGTGGACATGCTCTAGGTGAAGTAGAGCAGTAAACCTTCATGCTAGCACGTTGGCAAGTAGGTAGTTAAAAAGTGGAAGAGGAAGCAGCCTTGAAGTTGGCTTCTGAAGAAGCTAGTAAGTACGTAAAAGAAAGAATCACATCTTTCACCAGGACAGATTAATTATAAATTTAAACTCTGCACAGCTGATCTTTGGTAGGGCGAATCTCAACCAGATTGTCTTCAGCTTGCTTTCACTGTTTATCAGCATTGTGAATTATGTTGGTTTAACTCTGTCTTAAGTTTAATTTTTGTTATATTTTTTATGTATGGGCATGAGAGCGTAAGAAACATGATGCATCATCCTCCTGCAGACACTCCTCCAACCTTAAAACAAGGAAATGAGAGATGCTGGCCTTCTCTTATCTTAAAATCTCTATGTGCACACTTCACAGCCAGAAACTATTAATTGGGAGTGCAGATCCCTTCCAATTAGGGCAAAAGTCTTTTGCCCAATATTCTTACTATACATGAATATAAGAATATACACATGTAATTCAAATTAGCTGAAAATTCATGCAGTATGTGAAGCAAGACCAGCTTGGTTTTGTAGGTAATGTTTTATGCTCTGCACTATTTTCTTGGTGTATAGTATTTGTGTCTTTGATTACTTTAGAACACACTTATATTAAAATATCTTCTGTCTGGCTTAGAATCTCAATGAGGAATGTTGGAATATAAAACTTGGCATTGTGGTTTCCTTCTTCCAAGTATAGAGCAGGAGAAGAACTAATTCAGACAGGTTAATTTACTTCAGTCTGTATCAGTCATCTGTATTCACTCTTGATTCTATGAAGTACAACAGAAAGGAGTGGAAATACTATTTAATAAAACAAAAAATAATCTATATGTAACAAAATTAGTTCATCTTGCCCAGGACATTCAGAATCATGCTGACAAATAGCAATCTATTATGCTGAATACTATTAATTATAATTTATGTAATTACTGGTTTGTAGTGAGTACATAACTTTTTTGCTAATGTGAGTGGCAAGCTGAACTTCAGTCTAAGGTTTCTTTGGATTTTCAAAAACTCTCAATACTGTGTGATAATGAGATAGCATAGACTTGCCACATGGTGGCAGTAAAAAACTTTAACTAGTCTGTTAGGCAGTGAGAATAGCCATAGACCTTGTTTGGTGTCATTAATGTTTTTCTTAAGAGTCTTACGTGCCAGTGAAAGAAATAAGTATTTAGTTAGGGTTTCCTCATGAGTGCTTCAGACCTACTGCCTTGCTTTAGTTAGTCCTGAACGTGAAACTGGATAAACAAACATGAAGGTAATAAAGTCATTCTGTAACTGACTGCTGGTGGTTAATATCATGAAGCCACTTCATCACAATAGTTTCTTTCTCTGTATTTTAAGAGAAATACAGAGAAAAAAAAAAATCTCTAAACCTGACTTCATGAATTAGAGAATGAAATTTTAACAAGTGCTTATGTTTGTGAAACCACTATTTTTTGTCTGTAGGAAAACCTTATTTATGCTGCTGATCCTGATTCAGTTGAAGTAAATACTAAAGATATGGACAGTACTTTAAGTAGAGCATCTAGGGCAATAAAGAAAACATCAAAAAAGGTAAGATACTAGGAAGACTGCTTTACAGCAGAACTCATTCTAGTCAGAGTGGCATTAGTATTCCATTTCAGGTGCTTTGTAGAACTTACAGCAGTTGTAGGAAGAACTTAATCTCAGTGAAACTCATAAGTTTTCTCCTTAAAGGCAGAAGATATGAAGTACTTGAGGGCTCTGACAGGGTAGTTTGGGGATGTCTTAATTGGAGTATCTTAAGTATTGTAGTTGTAAATATTATGTAGGTATTATTAATATCATTATGGAACTTTATTTACGATGTTCAAATGATTAAACTTTAGGAAAGCAGACCTCAACTGTAACTGCTTTTAACATACTGGATGGTATTGGCAGTTATCAAACTTCAAATTCTTTCAAAAGTAAGATGACTGTGCATGCTCTAATGTCAGACTTCAAAATTACAAGGAAATAAGTGTTGAAGGCTGTTTTCTGCCTTTATATGCTTTCTTTTGTATATGGCTTAAGCTGCTCTTAATTGAAGTGTGCTCTGCATTGCTGAGAGGGATTGCCTGGGAAGCAGGAGGAGGGCTGCCTGTCTGCTCTGTCATATAGGCTGTGCTCTTAGTCTGGTTCTACTGAAGCCTGTGGAATATGAGGGGACTGACAGAGTGTGAAGCAGCAAGGAAGAATCTCTTCTCCGTTCTTCTCAGCAGCCTTGATGCAGGCTTATTCTCATCAAGATGATGCTTCTTCCTAGAAAAACTGTAGAGGCTACTGTAGTTTAGAAGGTACTCTAGGCTGAACTGAAAGTATCTTAATGCAATGGGGCCTGACCTTTCAAAATGCAAGGAATGTGGGGAAGTCTAGTTGAGCAGACTTTTTTTTTTTTACTTTTCTCATCTCAATCTTTTCCAAAATGCTGCTGTTATGCGGACAAGTGAGAATAGTATGGATTGTGGGAACTCTGAAAACTCAGACCCACTTGCAAGTTGTCTTTTATTTATTTGGGTTTAATTTTTCCATGTGAGGAAGAGCTATCGTATCCTTCTGGCTCAGAGCTTGTCCTACAGATGTTCGAAACTTGAATAGTAGCTTATTGTGGTAGCAATTACAGCCTGATCTTTGTCAGTGTGTAACGTGCTTGTCAAACTCCCCAGGTTACAAGAGCATTTTCTTTCTCAAAAACACCGAAGAGAGCTCTTCGAAGGGCTTTAATGTCACACAGTGCAACAGAAGGAAGAAGTCCCAGCTCAGCTAATGAGAGTTACATAGGCAGCCGCCTGAACAGTACGTCGTCGTTAGCGGTAAGTTACTTAGCTGTGCAGGCCAAACAAGTAACCTTCTGAAGACCACAGTCATCCTAGTGTTGATCTTATAACAATTTCAGGATCTGCAGTGGAGAAAATTATTTTTATCTATATTAATAGATGTGTTCTTTTCAGAGTGAAATTGTTTAATGAGAAGGCTTGCTTACTGAAAATGCAGGAAGATGTGCTAGTATGTAGCAGAACCTGGGAATTGTTAATACATTTAAGCTGGAAATAAACTCTTGCTGGAACTGGAATATGCATCCTATTCTGAACTAGCAAGGAACTTCTGTATGTTGGCTTGGGCTTTTGCATTTTGGACAAAATACAAATGAAACGTAGGCCCCGAATAGTGTGGTGAGAACATCCGTGGGCATAGTAAAGTAATAGGCAACCCATGAAACAAACTGGGAAGGATGTGTAGAGAGCTATAGATGTTGCAGCCTGGTAGCTTTTAAAAAGGCAAGGGAGTTATCTGCTCATCAAAATCTTGGTGAAGTAAATTTGGTCTTTGCTGCAACTCCTGCTATGCTTGGCTACCTATTGCAGCTCTCTTCTGCTACATTAACTCAGACAATTTCTAATACAGTCTACTATATCGTTCTAGATTTTAAGGATTTTTTCCATAATCTTCTAGTTTTTTGAGTAACGTTCACTCAACAGACTTACTCAAAAGTCTGTAGTTTGTGGGACAGGTAGCCAAGAACAGGATTTCCTGTGTATCTTTCTACTACTGATTTTTATGTCAGAATCTTAATACAGAGATAATTCAGTACATGTGAGTGCCCTTTAAATTGTACAACACAGATTGCCATACTATCTACCACATTAGATAGGCATGAAGAAATACAAATTAATGAAGGGAGGAAGTATGACAGTGAACTCCCTTGGTTTATAGGAAATTAACATAAAATCAGATTGGCTATAACCCAGTTCTGTGTAGTGATTTTCTTCCTTCAATTATGATTGCTTCAACAGTTGTTTTAGAATTCTATTATTCCATCCCTATTTTGATGTAGAACTGTCTCTCATTTCTCATGGAAATGCAAGTTGTGCATTTTTCCTGTTTGTGTCTCTGTATTTAACTATTTCCCTATAGTGACAGAAATTTAGTAGTAAAACTTCTTTTATTTTTTCCTCATAACTTCTGGACCTCAGAGTAAACTGCAGCTTGGCAGCAGAGCATGAGTTCCATTTGATGTTATATAGGGTTTTTAATCCATCTCCTACCCAATAGAATTGGCATGAAGCTGTTCTGATTGAGTCATGAGGTTAGAGATTCATCTTTTTTAATTCTATCATTAGTTTTATGTTTTATATACGGTCCCTTCTAAGCATAATCTCCAAGAAATGGGGATAGGCTTTAGAATAGTGAGCGGTTTTGAAAGGGGGTGGAAAACAAGACTTGGATTCCAGCCTCTCAAATAGGTGGTAATGTGGTTCTTGAGTAGCGAACTAAAGCTGTAGGAAATCTGTCTGGGATCACTCGGGAGTTGAACCTGTTACTGAGGCACTGTTTTAATTAAAATCCTGTCACTGTGTTCATGTGGGGAGGTGGGGGGTGAAGTAGTAAAAAATCACTGAAGCTGAGATGTCTTCATGCTTGGACTAACTCTTGAATCCTTCCTAACTGTAGATCGCTCATTCATTGTCTTCATGTAGCCTAAGTGGGTCTGTGAAATGTGGTGTTAATGTCCCTTGCTCTAATTCTGTTGATCTGAGTTCTCAAAATTCCAGGCCTTGACCTGTGCTGTGTCCTGGCTCTCCAAATAGTCATTTATCAAGTGCTATAGAAGAAGAGAGAACTTTTTCCAACCTGGAGAGATTCAAGGGTCATGCCTTGGACAAATCATGTCCTGTCTCTATTATTGCTATCACTTGTGGTGCTGAAGATAACAAGTGTGGTGCTGGAAAGTTATGTATGTCAAATCCTGACTATTAATGCCCACCTTGTATGAAGTAAGCATCCAATCCTGATTAAGACAAAATGGTACAGCTACTTAAAACCTAGTATCCACGAAGTTATAAACAGTATTGAGTTCTCCCTTGACATGTAATGCTCTGGGTTACTCAGCACTGATGCATTGTGCTATTTCTGCTTTTGAATGCCAAGTTAGTTCTTTCAGAGATCCTTTTTAACTTTTCTTAATTAAAAGTTAGACCTAATTAAAATAATATTGAACAACTACTTGTTTCAATTCATTGTGTCCAGGCAGCAGCATAGCTTGCCAGCCAGGGTCCTCAGGACCAGTATTTTAACTGCAGGGTGGTCTTGAATAGCTAACTTTATCTGTACTTTTAACTTTTAGTTCCCCATATGTAAATGGAAAAAAAAATATATCCCTATGAAGTATTAATGAGAACAGCGATATAAAGAGGCTTAGGATTTAACATTCAAATAGTGCCTGTGGCTGCAAAGAAGACATGCTATAGACACACATTAGATTTCCTAAAAAAAATAAAAATAAAAAAAAAGAAAAAGCATGCTGTTACCTGCCCAAAGTATTGTTATTTAGAAGGTTGCTGAATTACGTGGCTGCAGTAAGATACCTAACTACCACAACCATGTTGAAAAGCAAGAGCAACAGATGGTTGCTTGTGGAATTATTTAGAGGACAAATGTAAAAACTATAAAATCCAAGCTGATGCAAAGAAGCAGCTCTTAGTACAGTGTATTTATGTATGAGATTCACTGTAACTTCAAGTCCTTAAGTCCTAGTGTTTCTACCACCAGAAAAATCAGGTTTCTACCTATTTTGTGTGTCCATATTTGCAGTTAAAGCAAGCTTTGATAAGTCATTGTGATACACAATATTTCTCTGTAGCCAAGAAAATGTGTTCAGTGACTGATTTTGGGCTCAAGCCTAGTAAGAACACAGAGCTGTAGGGTGTGAGGGTAGTTAAGTTCCTTTAAGATTGTGACGATATAAACCTTACATTTGGAAGGAGGTGAGTAGTGCAAAAAATGATGTGAAATGTATGCTAATATTTGCTTTTGAAGAGTAGCTTTTAAACATGATCTTGCATTCTGAATTTCTGATCTAGTAACAAGGGAAAGTTTTTATTCTTTGTGTACTGCTTGTTTGGTGCTGTATAACTTTGCCATTCAAAATCTAGAAATATTGAATGATTTATTTAAAAAGCTGTCCATCTTAAATATCTTCCTGACAAAGTGTAAGGAATCTATATATCAAGGTTGAGAAATGACTCCTGATCTGACATTGATTATGAAATGACTACTCTTTTTCCATCCTCAACAGGGCATTTCTTCTCCATCCTTGGTCAGCCTTCCCTCAATCTTTGAAAAGCGGAGTCATACGTTAAGTCGATCAACAACCCACTTGATATGAAGCAGGCTTTAAGTACAATGCCATACTGTAGTGACTGACAAACAGCTGGCTGTTCAAATGACCTGTTACTGACATTAATGGTACCTTAGTCATTAGCACTTAGCAATGATTAGCAAAATGTAAGATAACACTACGTTAATCACAAAGGGGTTTCTAGTTGTACTGATGCGGATCAGGTAATCAGTGGAGTGAGTAACTTGGTCTTTGTTTAAGACCCATTATTCCCTTGCACAATTTTTTCATCAACATAATGGAAGCATTTTCTTTTACAGAAACTGTCCCCTTTAAGCAACAAACTAGTTTTGAAATAAGGATGATGATCACATAACTTACTGCTGGTTTGAATGACTCCCATGCCTGCCTAACTTAATCAATTGGCTGAGCACTTTAATGTTCAAACTGTTGATTTCTTAAATGGAGATGCATTATGAAGTACCTGACCTTTTGAGTATGACAGTTAACCTGTTGTACAGCTGCTTATTCCAGATATTTTATAAGTGTAGCTGTTTATAAAGAAGTGGGATTGAGTTTCTCTGATTGTGATCTTCTGCAGCCTCACTGTAATACAGTGGTGTGTTGGTTTATTTGAACAGGAAGTTTAAAGGCTATGACTAGGTTTGTCCACCACAAATGATTAAAAGAAAAATGAACATGCTCAAGAGTTATGGCTTTCCCTTTTAGTCAGGGCTGTTTGAAAATAACAATAAAAAAACAACCTATGAGATCCAAATGTTTGGTTAATAGCTCATTATTTAATGCATGAGATTACTGGTGTGACGAGGGCCCAGTTTGGGTGTGCTAAATTTCAGGTGTACTCCTAAAGCTTTTATTTGTCTTCACATGTTTTTGTTGTCCTTCAAAGCTCTATGTTCACTCCTTTCATATCCTCTCAGTCAGTATGATTCAATGCTATCTCAGGAACCATCTAAATATGTATATTTCTGCATTTCTTTAATGGTGAAACCATTACTAAACCATCTGTTCATATTAGGAGTTCTCAACTTCTGGCTTCTTAACCACCAGTGTCCTGTCTTGTCTATATGTAATTAGTGATGTTTCTGAATCTGTCAGACTAAACTGCTTTTATATTTTGTACCAATCCAAGCAATGTAAATAAACTGTTTAAAATAAAACTCCTTGTGGCTTTGCTAAGCAGGCTTTTATGGAAGTCCACTCTGTCATTTTGCACAAAAACACTGAGTTGGGTTCCACTCTATAGATGTACTCTGATTAACTATAATAGCTATTTTTAATAAGATATGCAACTTGGTAAGCCTCAGTCTGCCAGAACTGAATCTTTTTATTTCCTTAATGTTTGCCATTCTGCCTTATTTCACTGGGTGTGTATATATTATATATCCATGGGTGCTTTGGCCTTATCCATTCAAAGCAAACATCTGAACTTAATGTGCACTGGACTTGATGTAATAAAGTATCTCTAGGAAAGAATCCATGCAATAAATCCTATGCTAAGAATAGCAACAGGCTTGGCTTTCTTTTGTTGTTGTTGTCTTTGCAAGGGCATCTTCAGCCTGGTAAATTCCAGATAAATAAATTATATTACTTCTCTGAGTTTCGCTGTACTCTTTTTGACAATACAGCTCTAGAAGCAGCTTTGTCATAAGGTCTACTTCTGCCTCGTGTAACTTCATACAATCGGTATGTGAATGCAGGAGCTGGTGCTGCTGCTAGCTTATGAAATAGTCCTAACTAAGCAACCTCCTGCCTGAGAAGACTGCTATAATGAAATGCTCAACATTGCTATAAAGACATCTGGACAAGTTCATAACCCAGAAATGAAACGAGGATTTGAGGAAGTGAAGTATTTGATTGAAACTGTGCAGAGGCTGCCCCACAAGGAAGAGAATTAAGTAAACCAGATCCCTTTCACCTAAGGATCAGTCTGCTTCCTTTATTCTGATTCTTGTCTACAAAAAAAATGCAACAATTGGGCTGACACTTAACTTGCTGCTTTAAGAGCAAATACAGATTTATACATGCACATCTGTATTACATGTGAAGTGAGGGGCTCTGGATTTTGTATGATGTGCACATTTCTGTAACTTCTGCTGTTCACTAGGCTGTGAATTGAAGAAAATGGAAAAATGGTTTTCCTTGGCTTCTTGTAATTCCTTCTGTAGTTTCTCTTCCTTCTCTTTTTTTTTTTTCCAAGAAAAAGCTGAGGTAACTCAGTTTTACTCATACCAATGAGTAGCAAAAACACTGATGTTGAATTTGTATCTTGTATTAACTTTAAGTTTGCAAACTGAAAGTATAATGTACAGTCAATAAAGGTGTGAGTGTTTTCATTCTTTTGACTCCAAGAATGGGATGTTTGAGATGCTTTTCAGGTAAGTGGAGGTATATCTCCAAGAGAACGCAGTTCTCTAGCAGCGTGTTTGCTGCCTTCCCCATTGGCATGTGTGCATCTTGAGGTTTTGGATAATAGCACTCAAGAAAATTCCTTGGACAAGTAGTGTGTTGTGTATGTTTTCCTGGAGTTAATCCAAGTACACTCTTAATATTGTGGTGCAATCATGGTTTGTGCTATCAACCTATCTTAAAATACAAATAGCACTCAGGTGTTTGCTTGTACTGTGAACAGCGCTGAAGTCTGTGTTATCAAGTGGTAGCTTGGAGGGGTGTGTAGACAGCCAGGCAGGATTGTAGATAAGAAAGAAACGATTTATTTGCTTGGTTTATTAAAAAACAACAACGAACAAACAGAAAAAGCTCCCCCCAGACTCAAAAGAAGCCAGTAGTTGGACAAGGGCCTCCAGCAAACCTGGAACATAGGTTGGGATTGACTTCTTCAGCTGACATTTGAATCGTGGGTACTTCCATGGCTGAGCCTGGGCTTCTGCAGCCCTGCCTTTCACAAAGCCATACCTATAATTCATAAATGTGCACTCACTGAAAGCTATTAAAGCATTTATAGACTAAGACAATTAATCTTTTATAGGTTTTTGTTGAAAGAGAAGAGGTAGAGAGCTTACAGCTGCTTGAGAGCACCTGTTTCTGAATGTGTTGTAGATTCAACAGGACGGCTTGACCTGTATTTTGCAGGAAAATAGTTGCTGTTTCAAAAATAGGAACTGAAAACTCTGCTGTGAGATGGTTGTTTACAATCTATGAAAGCCAGCCATCAGAGACAAAGCAGGGGCTAGCTAGAACGTACTTTAAAAGCACAAAAGCTGTTGAGAGCTTAAAATGTTGGCTGAATTCTCTACACAGCTGACATTGGAAAGGCAAAGGCAAACTGATGCCACGTTCTTTGCCTTGGGACTGTTTTTTAAGTGCAGAGCCAGAAACATGCTCTCTCCCATCAGTAATGAGAGCTGGAATAGAAATGAGAATGCCATGAAAACAAACTAATTAAACATCTTGTGAAATAGATTTAGCACTGTCAGACGTTAGGCAAACAAAAGTCATTTTTAGATAAGAACATTACTACTACTTAAGGCTGAATTTTCATCTGGCACAGAGTATTCTATCAGAGCCTCTATACAAATGCAATGATGCATTTGTATGTGCCCAGTTTAGGCAGTTAAGAGTGCAATTACCACTCTACCTGCAATTTGTAATTGGTTTGAGCTGCCCTGGTGCTTTAATCAGCTATTTCATATATTGACTGATTTTAGAGTTTGACTACGGCGGGAGCTGTCCTCTGTTGAAAAGAGTTATATATATACATACATATGTATATTTATAGTCATTAAATACTTACAAAGAGATGTGAAGCATTCTTTTATTTTTATCTTACGTTGGGAGAGCTATGGGAGGCCTATGGCAGGCACTTCATATTTGAGAAGTTAAACAACTGAAGTATTGATGTTAATATAAATATCTGTAGAAAGAGGAGGGTCTTTATACCTCCCCCTCCCTCCAGAACCTCAGATGCTTTAATGACCAGGGAGGAAGGAAGTGGCTTTTGGCCTCATTCTGGAGAAATGGAGAACCCAGTTTTGCTACTCAGTTTACCCAGGGGCTCCCTGAAGCCCTTTTCATTTTAGGGTGAAATAAAGCTGGCCCAGCGCAGCCCAGAGGCAGGCTGTGTTTTTTGCTCCACCTGCAAAGGCAGCTCATGTTTCTCCGTGTAGCAGGAATGCTGAGTCACAGCTTGAAGCAATTATTGAGCACCTGGTGGGAAGGCAGGGCAACCCAGGCAGCTCAGGTGTGTGCAATGTACCGCAGTGACTGGAAGGTCTGGAGCCAGGATGCACCCCTTCCCAGCCCTCGTTTAAGGGCTGGCAATGGAGGTGAGGGCATCTCACTGGGGATCCCTGTGTAGCTGAGGCCTTCTGAAAGTGAGCAGCTTCTTTCCTTTGTTTATGTGCCCACAGCTGTTGCATTTGAGCAAGTCTCTGCTTGCTGTGGCCTAGGGCCGTGCTGCAGCCTGGGACTGTGCTGCTGTTGTTGCTCTGTTTTCCATTGTGTTACACCCTATCACTGTGAGGATCAGACCAAGGATGACTTCTTTCCATCTCTCTTCCTCTACTGCTTTCCCTTTCTTCATCCAGAGATCGAGGACAGTGCAGCAGCTTGGTAAGTGTGCCATCAATCTGTTTATGGATTCTTCTAAAGTAGGATCGACCGGAATATAAATTGTGTTACGTGAGCTCTTGGAGGTTTTGTTTCACTTACAGTTAAAAATGGTAATGCTTGTTTGTCAGTGTTGGGAGATGCTGACTGCCTCTCAGCACTGATGTGTTCATAAATATTCAGCTTCTGTCTTTACCCAGACAGGAACTTGTTGGCTACCTTGGAGTGTAGACTCTTACGTGCTTTCTGCTGCTCTGTGGTGGCAATGATGATATTTCAGTAGTTTCTTCTGTGCTTCAGCCTGGAGAGGATGTAAATATAAGCATAACTGATCCTGAAAATCTGTCTTTTCCCTGTGTTTCAGTGGCTTATGTGTTAGAGTTGGATATGGCTGGCAAATCATCACTGATTGCTAATTAAAAAGCTGAATATATTAAGGAGCTTTGCGCATCCATTTCTCCCTCAGATTGAAACCCTTGCTGTATGAGTGAGTGCTAGTGAAGCTCTAATGGAGACAGTCTAATTACTTGCCGTTTCTGCTTTGACTTAACAGTTCATGAATTACAGTAGTTCTGACTGACAGATCGTTGCTGATTACTAATTAAATGGCAGAATGCGGCTCTTTGCACCTCCAGCTTTTTACCCCCCATAACAAGTGATGCTCCCTGTCCTACTAAAAAAGCTTTCCCTTCTTGTTTGTTGATATGTGGAAGCTGATGGTCTCATCCCTCTGGAAAACAAAGATCCTTAGGGTGCATTTAACAATGGTGGAGGATAAATATATTTCAAAAATAAAGTTACTGCTGTGTTGCTTATAAAAGAGGCTTTGGAGGGAAGCTGTTGAAGACAGTATAACAACTCAGCATGTTTCCTGGCACTCCATTCTCATACAGATCGCCCAAGCCCTCATTTAGGAGCCACAGAACAATGAGTGTTTTAGTCCTTTATCTGCAGAAGGCGACAACTCATTCACTGCCATAGGTACTCTCTAGGTCACCCAAACACTGGAACAAACGTGCTGATGAATTGTCTTTCTTTTTCTTTCTCTTCATTTGTCTTTTCAAAGGACCGGAATTTAATCTGCTTCTTGACAGTGTTACTGCTCTGCTAATCAGTGATGTGTTTTAACCTGTGATAGCAAACTGTAAAAACGAGCTGTAGAGAATGGGATCATCCTGCAGCGATGTTTTCCCTTTAGTCCTGAGTGGCAGTGGGTAGAGTAATGGACAGGCAGTAAACCAGCAAACTCTGCTATTGCTTTTCTCACTAAATGCTGAAACACTTAGTTCTCTTCCAGTCTTAAACCCAAGAAGGATTTTAACTAAGGGCTCATTACAGTTTCTACAGGTAATTTCAAATCAGTGCATTGAAGGTACCTTCATCCTGATAAACTTTTCTTTGTGCTGATTTCTGTCACTAACGTTGTTCCAAATATATCATAAAGCTTTTATCCTAAAAGGAACCGCTGTATCCCTGAAGGGAAATTGTGCTCCTTTAATCTCTTAGTTAGTGAGCATGTTCCAGAGTGTGCGACTATTTCTATACATAGTTTGTAAAAGTGTTACAAAGATAATGCACAAGAGTAATGTTAAAAAGTGGTATGTTACTGGAGATCCCATGTATCAAGAAGTGTAAAAATTCATGTAGGTGATCATAATGGTCCCTTCTGGACTTAAAATGTATTACAGAGAGAAACCACAAAAGTC